AAACAAATTCTGCTGAGATCACTTCACACCGCATGTAGTAATAATTGTTACAAGATGAATCACAGCATACAGATGACATATGGAGAAATTATCTCTATATAGCAAATGTTATGTTGGAAGCAGAGTTTTTAGTTTAGTTTAGTTTAGTTTAGTTTAGTTTAGTTTAGTTTAGTTTAGTTTAGTTTAGTTTAGTTTAGTTTAGATAAATTAAACTGAAACAGTCTTTGATTTTTCCCTGCTGAATTAAAATCTGGCCCAAGTAGTCTGGCAAAGTGTTCTTTTAACACTTTGTTTCCCAATAACAGGATCCCCAAGTGAACTTTCATGGAAAAGCTAGATCAAATCACACTTCCTGATCTCTGCACAAAGATGTTTTCATCCAGACTGGATAGATATTAGAAATGGAACCTGCTGCTGTAATCCTTCCTCCTCTATTTTGCCATTTGATCTGGCTTTCTCATCTTGGGGATCTACCAGATCTAAGGCCTTCAACTCCCAGAATAACTCAGCTAATGTAGCCATTACTGAGAATTCTGAGAACTAGAGTCTAAACTTCCAGAGAGCATCCAGGTTGGGGAGGCTGCATCTGACTGCCTCACAATCAGCAATCCCCCTTCATATACTTTGTTTCTAAGCAATTGTACTTTCAGTCAGCACTTTGAATTTCCTTTACAGTCATTTACAGTGCAATCCTGAGAATGTTTACTCAAATGTAACTCATACTAATCTCAGGGGATTCTATTCTCTAACAAGGTGATGCTTAGGGACATTTTAGTGTCTTCATCTCCCTTGATTTTGTCATCTCACAGAAAATACAAAACTGCTTTAATATCACAATTAAATAATTGGCTCCTTTAACTTTCAATTGCCTAGAAGTTGACCAGCAGAATCTCTGTTCCAATGTTATAAAAAAAAGGGATGACTCCCTGTATAAGTGGTCTGATAAAGCACTTCCCCAACTCTTGTTGGCATCATTCAGATCAAACTGACTTCTGTTCATAGGAAATAAGACATGGTGTTTGGGTTGCAAGTTTGGATGGTTTCCATATGAATCAGGACCCTACATTATAAGATGGCAAATACTCCAGTTTTGTAAATAGGACTTGTTATTCTTCAGGATTTCAGACAAGTGTCTTTTCATCCTACCTGGAGATGTAAAGGATTAAACTGGAGACCACTGGCATTTAAAATAGAAGCTTTGCTGCTGCTTTCATCCCTCTTCTAAGTTATTGGCCATTACTCTTATTTCATGGTTGATTTACATTTTGGTTTCAGCAAATAGAATAAAACATCTTTTGCTACTTTTCTTTTTTTAAAAGAACCAGCTTCATTGGGATTGTAAATGCAGTTCTATGCAAATAAAATCCTTTGTTCATAGCAATATACTAAAAATGTGCTACTTTTGGAATCTTAGAAAAAGGGGAAACATATTGTGCAAGCATAAAACAAAACTGTTCATATTGATGAAATCACAGCTGTCCAGTTTTATTCTTTATTTTAGATAAATACAGTAACAGACAAGTAAAATGCCTCCAGAAACCACAGTAATCTGGCTAGAATTAACCATAAGAGTTGTTTGTATGTCTGTGTGTCTGTGTGTATAAACACCTAAAAGTTAACTGAACTGCTTTCTGAGAAACTCTGTAGCAACTTCAATGTTTTTAACAAAAGATTAGCTCTTTAGTTCTTACATAGGGAAGATGTACATCAAATTCAATAACTTATAAGAAACTTCATCAAAATCTGAAAGTGTGCATTTTACAACTGGACACTTTTTGCACATGTTATATGTATGTATACACATACATATATGTATATAAGTATATATATGTGTGTGTGTGTGTGTGTATACACACACACACACAAGTAACCTACCATATTTGCCATGAGTAATAAGTAAGATTAAACCAGAGTAAACCAGAGTAAAAGCCCTTCTAAAGGGTATATTTGCATTGTTCCAGCAGCATCTCTAAATCTATGTATTTATGCAATGTCACCAGTTTAAAATAGCAATGTCAACATATTTTTGTTAAGAGCTGGAGTAGCTTGAGGGTGGGGCATTAATTGAATGATGATTTCTCATCCTTCTATCAGTCAGCCGAAAGAAACACTGATTGGCTTATGGTGATGAGCACGCACTGAGCATTCAAAAAGTACAGTATTGAACATGACCATATGGCCAATTTTCAAATGGTTTGAAGGAATTGTGGACTGAAAATTGAGTGGGAACAATGCAATAAAGTAACGTTCAATAAAATAAAGCATACACATTGTACTGAAATTTTATTCTGTATTAATAAAATGTGAAATATTATGACTATCATTACCATTTTCACAGTATTTGTTAAATATATATTATATTGTTTGATCAATGAATCTTGATCTGCAGTTTAGTCTTACAGAACCCCTAGAGGAGAATGTTACTAAAAAAAAATACATAAAATTCTAATGCTTTGCTGCCATTAAATAGTTGTCTTGATTTATACAACCCAGATACAATATTTTCAAAAAAGAAATATTATTTTCTTACAACTAAAAAAAAGCCCAAAACATATAAATATTCTGGCTTCATGCCATGTAGAGCTTTATAAGTAATAACCAGCATCTTGAATTGTACCTGGAAGCAAACTGGGAGCCAGGGCAGTTCATGGAGCAGAACATGGGCATAATGAGACACACCCAGAATTGCCCATGAAGCTGCATTCTGGACCAACTGAAGCTTCTGAATGTTTTTCAAGGTCAGAACTATATACAGTGCATTGCAGTAATCCACTTAGAAGGTGACCACAGCATGAGTGACCATGTGCAGAGCTTTCTGATCCAGGAAGGGGCACAACTGGTACACAACACAGAGCTGTGCAAAAGCTCTCCTGGCTAGAGCTGTCACCTGCTCTTCAAGGACCCACAAATTGTGCACTGGTACTGCCTGAAGTAGAATTAAGGCAGGAAATCACCAGATCCATGAGGCCCTAAAATCCAAAGCCGCTTCATCCTGCTGTGGTTGAACTGAATCCTTTTCTTCCCCATCCAGATCCCACAGCCTCCATGCACTGAGAAAGAACCTGCACAGCATCACTTGATTGGCCAGGGACAGAGATATAGAGCTGCGTATCATCAGTGTATTGATGATACTGCACCCCATGCTGTTGAATGACCTCACCCAAGTGGCTTCATGTAGATGTTAAACAGGAGTAGGAAGACAGTTGAGCTCTGAGGCACCCCACACAAGAGGAGCTGTGAGGCAGATCTCTCCCCACACCCCCACCATTAACACTGACTGGGACCAAATCCAGAGGAAGGAGGAGAAGCCGCATAACACAGTACCCCCAATTCCTAATTCCTGAAGCTGATCCAGAAGGATACCATGGTTGATGGTATCAAAGACTGCTGCGATATCAAACAGAGCTAGGATGGACACACTATCCCCATCCTGCTCCCTGCAGGGATCATCCACAAGTGCAACCAATGCTGTTTCAATCCCATACCCTGTCCTGAAACCTAATTGGAAGGGGTCCAGCTAATTTGTTTCATACAGGACTCTCTGAAGCTGCGAGGCAATCACCTTCTCAACAACCTTCCCTAAAATTTTGTCCAAAACAATTGGGTCTAGGAATGCTTCTCAAGGAGAGAGCAAGCCACTGTCTCCTTAAAGGATGGCAGAACTGCCTCTCTCTTAAGGATGCACTCACTGCTACCTGGACCCACCAGTCAGCATTTGCTAGCTTGAAGAGACAAGGATATAACACTGAGATGGCCAAACTTACAGCTCCAAGAACTCTGTCCACTTCTTTGAGATCAACAGCATCAAACTCTGCCCAAATAACTGAGCTAGGATGTGTCTCAGTCTACTCCAAATGCCCTGCACCAAGGCTATGGTCTAATTTATGCTAACCATAGTCAGGAACCCATCCTATAGTTTTAGTTTCAGATGTACACCTCTATTTTGTATCAGATCAAAGCTCAGCTTCATAAGGTTAAATTCATTTTCATTATACTGATGCAACAGGTTCTTGAGACAGTGGCTTCTTTTTCAATCCTAAATAAAAGACGGTTTGCTGGCATGCAACCAAGTCATAATTTTAAGTTATCTTAACCCAAATAGTGAGACTGTTTATAGAAAATGTTATGAACACTGACTATAACATTATTCAGTTTGAGATTCCTCTCTTTCTCTCCATGGTAAAAACTATACTTGATACAAAGATTTTTACTTATGTTAGTTCCTGCTATTTCTATGGTTAAAATATTTATAGCTTAATATTGATTAACAAACAAGAAAAATGACCAGGTTGAGAAAGAAATATTGATTGTTCATCCAAACAGAACGTGTGTAACTTTTTGAAGGGATTTTTTTTCCTAATCAGTCTTGTTGAATTCAATTGTAACAAATTGGTTTGCTTAATGGGGGTGGGGAAGGCAGGATCTGATATCACTATCAGATTTAAATCCTATGTCTCTCAAATTCAATTTGAACTCCATATTGGACTAGTTTCTCATTTAAACTCTACTTTTCTGACTTTAATTGGGAAGCATGATTGGTAATTTTATCATTTACAAATAAATTTACAAGATTTTATTGCAAAATCTTGCAATAACCTGCCAGTTAGAAAATCAAATTAATATTATCCAACTAGGCTGAAAATATTAATAAGATTTTTGGATACAAGGCAACATTATATAGTCCACTGTCATCCACCATATTCAGTAAACTTTACAAATACTATCATGGTGCTGATGATGGAAGTGGAGAAATGTGGGCAGAAAAATTGGTCATTCTATGCCTCCTCTTTCCAAGCTGTGCTATCAGAAAATATCAAATATTGAGATATCCAAGGAGGTGTAAGAACATTAGACAGAATCATAAGAGTTCCACAATTTGTCTAAATTAGGGTTAGATAAACAAGTCTTGCTACATAATAAAGACTTTGCCTTTCATCCTATGGCAATTAAACTTGGGTCATAAGCACTCTTTAAGTTTGAACTTGTTAATTTTGTTGTAGGATGAAGGAAAAGGCAGGCCACTGGAAGTAACAAAGGTCCAAGGTGCTGAAATTGGCCTGGATAATAGCCTGGGCAAGCCTTTTGCATTTAAATGTGTTCCTCAGACTGGAAACAGAGTTTTCTATTTCTGTGCTACATCAGTCCAAGAGATGAAGAGGTACATCCTCCACTCACTACATTTGTTTCTTTTTCTGTGGGTTTTTGGTTTTTGGCTTGTTTTTTGTTTTTGTATTGCATTTATTAAGCTCAGTGGCAGGAATATGCATCAGCCTTTTATGGAAAGGAGGGAGAACAAACATATGGTACTAAGATTTAATTACAGTTCTCTCTCTCTCTCTCTCTCTCTCTCTCAAGAATATGTCTGTTAGCATTCTGTTATTACCAGTAGTTTTTTTCTTTTGTCTGGAGTCATTTCTCTTTTTTCAGTTCTATTGGATCAGATCAGAGTTATATCTGGTCCAGGATTCTGTTTTTCACATGACCAACAAGATATATATGAAAAGTTCAGAAGCAGAAGAGGGAAAAGATAACACTTTCCTCTATTCTATTCCATGTCTATTCATAGACAAGCTGTACGCCAGAACTCCCTTTAATGTGTTTCCTCTGTGTCTGTTATATATATGCAACTCCAGAACCATCATCTCTGTTACTGGCCTCTAGTGGCATTAGCAATCAAGATAATAGCAAGGGATGGGTGTTCCTTTCATTTCTCTCTGTTTCTACAGGTAGTCCTCATTTAGCAACCATAATTGGGACCAGCAACTTGGTCATTAAGTGAAGTTGCCACTAAGTGAAATCGCACCTGTGCTTATGATCTTACTTCAGCTTTCTTTTGCTTTACAGACCTGCAAAGGTTGTAAATGTGAGGATTAGTCATGAAGTTGCTTTTTCATCACTGCCATAACTGCAAACAGTCGCTAAATGAGGCAGTTGCTAAATGAGGACTGCCTATATTCTGCTTTTCTCTGATTGAAGACTGATACTTTATACTTTTAGGCACTTTCTTCAGCCTACTTCCTAGTGGGAGAACAAAATACCTCCTCCTCCTCCTCCCCCTCCCTCACAATAAGGATTCAAGCTTTACCTCAAAGCAAGTTTCTTAATAAAACATATTTGTCCTTTCACATCTGGAGCTACCAGTCTACTTGCACACATTGGGTTCTTTTCTTTTCTTTTTTAATGTCTTTGAGTCAGTGTTGACCCCTGGTGACTTCTTGGACTAGTCCCTGCAGTTTTCTAGGCAACATTTTTAGAAGTGGTTTGCTATTGCCTGCTTCCTAGGGTTGAGAGAGAGTGACTGGCCCAAGGTCACTCAGCTGGCTTTGTGCCTAAGGGGGAGCTAGAACTCATGGTCTCCCTATTTTTAGCTTGATGCCTTTAACAACTATGCCAAACTGGCTCACTTGCACACATACATTCTGCTAAACACACAGCTCAGAGAATGAACTAGGGATTCCAGTCAGTTATCAACACATTCTTTGGACTAGACAAGTAGAAGAAGAAATATTGAATGTATGCAGCTCACGAGGCTACAATACTTTTCTTGCATAGGTCTTGCAATTGCTGCTAGTCAATGCATAATTCTTTTCTTCCAGGCAAAACTATACTTTTCTGTATTTTTTTTTCCCAAAGGTGGGTAGATGCCATGGAGAAAGCTGCACATCCCATTCATCAGGTAATATGTTTTTTTTTTAAGTAATATTAAAAGTAAATGTATTGTTTGATATAGAGGTTACAAAAGATCTCTGAAACATCAGGGCCATGATAGGCAGAGGGAGATATGGAAGGATCCTGGGTGTGGACCACTTTTGGAGATGCCAGGCTTACCGTCTGAGAGCAATACCAATGTCGCACAGGATCTCCCTTGGGGCCAGTTTATCAATTCCTTGGTGGCCCTGGGCTACAGCTGTGGCTATTGAATGGATGGGGCAACTGACCTGGCTTGTATCATTGAAACCTGAGTGGGCCAACAGAAGACTTTCTGCAGATAACCAGGTGAGAGGCTCTCTGGCTGAAGTTGGATTCTAGGGAACAGAAGAGACTGTTGCTATTGTACCATTCTCCCGTTGCACAGTATCTTCTCTCCCTGAGCTGATGATTCCTGTTGCTGGATTAGTGATTGAGATGCTGAGCCTTGCAGTTCTTAGAAATTTCAATTTACCACCCAGTGACATTGAGTCTGTGGTGGCTCAGAAGTTCATGGCCTTCAGGCCAACATGGGCCTACCCAAGTGTACTGAGGGTTGCACACTAGACCTGGCTTTTGTTTTGGGGCCATTGAAATGTGATTTGGTTTTGGAGAACATAATCATCAGTCCATTTTCAAGGTCAGATCACTTTCTGATTGCCTTTTTGCTCACTGGTGCCACCCACTCTGCAAGGGGAAAAGGCCTATTAGAATGGCCCATCCCAGGCAACTGATACAGTAGGGTTCCAGAGGGAGTTTGGGCTTTTTCCTGAGGTTCTGGTTGTGAGGTTTGCCCCGTTCGACAGAGAAACTCTCGTGACACGTGTGGTTCACAAAGAAG